AAATGCGAAAGTTTAGATGTTTGTTAGCTTGTAGTCTAAACTGCTGAACGGATCTCAATAAAATTTGTCACAGATGTAATGTCTGGAAGAAAACATAGGCTGTTTACTAAGTTTTTTATTTTCACGCGGATGAAGTCGTGTGCAAAGCTAGTCTATACTAATATAAAGTGAAAAGATTTGTATTTTTGTACTGAAAATCTACTGGACCGAGTTAAAAAAATTTCACCAATAAAAAGCTACGTTATCACTGAGTAACATCGACTATGTTTTACAATTATATTTTTTTAATCCCGTAGACGGAGTCACGGGAAAAAGCTAGTATGTGATAAAGGTTCTAGTCGGACTAACGTTATCATGTGGCGCCAACGTTTTTTAATTACAATTATGAATGTATTATGAAATATAAATTGTTCCTTAGGGATGTTTCCTACTTACTTAATGTTTGTTTGCATGACATTGCGACATATCCAAGCTGATGACTAATGTAACAGAATATGACTTGCAAATATTATAACAACACTAGCTGTTCCCGTGCGGCTTCATCCGCATGAAATTATAAAACTTTATTTTATTGTTTACATTTGTCAAATTATCAATTGCCAATGCCAAAATTACCATAACCATTGCTTTTTTAATGTTGGCAACTTGTACTTTATGGTTCCTTCCCCACATGAAGTATTTTTTTCAATTCATTTACCCCTAAGTTTATTACTGTGAAAATATATAGCCTAAAGCGTGACGTAAGTGTAGAGCTTTTTATTAAAAAAAGAATTATTCATAAATGTGCTGTGATTGCTGACATCTTAGGCAACAAAGAAGTGTGTGTTTACGCTTTATTATATTAGTATATAGAAGTATAGTAAATAAAAAAACAATACACTAAAAAGTAAAGAAACAATTCCGTGAATTAGATCTCTCTTATTGTAGCTGTAATGTCTATATTGTACAACTAGCTATTGCCCGCGATACCGTCCGCGCGGAATTAAAAGAAAAACAAAAAGCCTTTGTGTTCTTTCAGACTATCCTCTACATCTATATTAAATTTCATCGAAATCCGTTCATCCGTTTAGGCTACAAACTCTAACAAACATCCATCTATCTAAACTTTTGCATTCATAATATTAAGTATAAAGTATGATTGAGTAATACAATAAATTTCCAAATATAATCGTAATTTTATACGTTTGGGTATTTCGGTTTCGGTTTCGAAAGCAGCAAGGCCGAAATTTTCGGTTTCGGTTTCGGCTGAAAAACCAATTTTAGTCGGACACAATTTTGCTATACGACATTCAATTGTAACGCCAGGTTCACACTTTGATTTATTTTTTACTAGCTGTCGCCCGCGATTCCGACCGCTTGGAATTAAAAAAAAAAAACAAAAGTGAGTAGCCTATATGTTCTTCCAGACTATCTTCTACATCTAAGCCAAATTTCAACGAAATCGGTTCAGTTGTTTAGGCTACAAAGTCTAACAACATCCATCCAGTTTTTAACAGTGGTAGAGCCCGCTTTAACATCTTCGCACGAATGGGCCTGCTCGCCCGGTGTAATACCACGACCACACAGAAGAGAGGCGTGAAGTGGAACCAATTCCGCGTTTCGACTGATGAGTGTGGTGCCGGAGGCCTAATTTTAGTCCCTTTCCATTTCCACCCTTTTCTTAAGAGGAGAGGGTGGAAAGGAAAAGTGGATTTGATGGTGGAGGAGACGCATAGGAAGGAAAAATGTCCTCTTTATGTGCGTCTCCTCCTCCGTCAATGGAGGGTAGGCAACGCATCTGCAATTGCGGATGTCTATGGGCAGCGGTCGCTTTCCATTTCGGTGGATTCAAGCTGGCCGCTTGCTCGTTTGCCACCTTATATTATAAAAAAAAAACCATCTACACTTTCGCATTTATAATATTAATATGAGTACGATTTTTTTTTACTTTTTATTTATATTTTAAAACATTAGTAGACTTTTGTTAATTTATTAATATTTCCTTTAACCATTCCAACTACGCTCTAGGGTTGTGCTAGGATATGGTTCACGACAGTCGAATGGCGGGATTCGAATCCTCGACCGCAAGATTTATTGATTGAATGAATGAATATGTATTCATTGTCACAAAAAAGTAATTACCTAAACGGACTAATTCTAAAGAAAACAAAGTCGTAGTAAAAGGTAGCCAGTTTAACATACTCAGGAGGGACTAAGCCTGATTTTCAGCATACTTGATTGTATTCAGTTACCATGCATTCACACTGTGCTAGTTGCAAGACAGTTTAATTAATCAGCTGTACTGGCCAGGTGTAAACCGCACATTAACAAACCTAATTCCATTGCTTACAAACTACGTCATACAGATAACGCATAATCGTACTGACCTTGTTCTAAGTCAATAACAATTATTATTATAATTTACTTAAAGTTTAAAACAGCTTGTATAGATATACTTTTAAACTATCAATATAATTTGATTTTTTTTGAGGTCGCAAACGAACAAGCGGTCACCTGAATCCGCCATGCCGACATTCTCAATAGCGGATGCGTTATTCGACAGGGGAGGAGCACATAAAGATGTTTTCCCTTCCTATGAGTCTCCTCCGCCGTCAAATCCACGTTCCCTTCCCAACCTATTCTTATGAGAAAAAGGGTGGGAAGGAAAAGGGACTAAAGTTGGGCCTCCGGCACCGCACTCATCAGACGAAACGCGGAATTGCTCCCACTTCACGCCTGTCTTCTGTGTGGTCGTGGTATTACACCGGGCGAGCCGACCCATTCGTGCGAAGATGTTAAAGCGGGCTCTACCACTGTACAAAACTGGCGATATTAATTTAAGTCAGTTAGAGACGTTTATGCCAATATATTAGTGTTGCGCCAATTCTACAGCGCGGTCCTAATTTTATTCTTAATGATATATGCCATGGTTCAATCTTAATTAAAATTTTTAACATCTAAACAAGAGTGGAATTAAAAATATAGCCTATGTTACTCAGTAAAAATGTAGCTTTTTAATGGTGAAAGAATTTTTTAAATCACCCCAGTAGTTTTTGAGTTATTTCGAAGGTTTAGGCAGTGTAAGCCGAGAAAAGTTAAAGTTTAGTGAATTTTCAACGACGGCGTCCAGAAATACACTGTTTATTAATAGTTTCTAAACATTAGTAATAATAAAAAATAGCCTAAGTTACTCACAGATTAATTACCTTTCTAATGGTGAAAGAATTTTTAAAATCGTCCCAGTAGTTTCTGAGTTATTTCAATACATACAGAAATACAAATCTTTCCTTACTTACAATGAAGGAAAACTTCAAGATGCAACCTGTTCATGTAGGCAAAGAAATTCAAAGATATGTATGAAGTCAATCAAACTGCACTGGACCAGTGTGATTGACTATGGCCTAATCACCCTTAACTTTAGGACACGCTCCGAGCCACGTAGTAGGGAGGTACAGTGAGCTGATGATGTACATAATAAAACCTTTATCACCTGATAATGATCATCATAAATATTAAATTGAGTAAAATTATCAATATCTTTATAATTATTTGCAAATAATCTTTGATAACACACAATAATGCCCATACTGATAAAGATAATAACTTTATTTTAAGGTGATGAGCAAACAGCTACCTGAATTCACCAGCTCACTATACATCCCTAGTTACAGGCTAGTTACAGTAAGCAATTTTAGTCCTTTTCCCATTCTTGTCAGGTAAGGATGGGTGAGGATTTTTTCTTTTATAATATGAGGTGGCAAACAAGCAAGCAGCCTGTGTCCACCGAAATGGAAAGAGACTGCTGCACATAAACATCCGCAATTGCAGATGCGTTGCCTACCCTCAATCAACGGAAGAGACGCACATAAAGAGGATATTTCCCCTTCCTATGTCTCCTCCGTCGTCAAAACGACATTCCCTTTCCCTCCTATTCTTATGAGAAGAGTGGGAAGAAAAAGGGACTAAAGTTTTACAGTCGAGATGCATAGGAGGAGAAAATATCCTATTTGTATCCTATAAACATCCGTTGATAAAGGTAGGGTACACATCTGCAATTGCAGATGCCTATGGGCAGCGGTCAAATCAGCATTTTGGCAGATTCAAGTACTTGCTTGCTCTTTTGCCATCTTATGATAAAAAAGGGACTAGGACATAGTCCATCCTGTTGGCCCACTGTGGTTGACTTCACACATATTTTTTTATTATCTTTGTATATTTTCTTTCGCGTTAGAATGTCAGATAAATGATGTATAAATGAGATTCAGACAATCAAAAATTGTGTTGGTACATGGTGGAATTCGAGCAAGATATGTAGAATATAAGCCCCTGAGCCACCAATGCTTAACAAAACACTACTAACTGAATTACAAGCCTGGTAACAAAAGAGAATCAAAAGTGTCTGCAAATAGCATAAGTGTTTCCCAAATTGTAATCTAGAAATGTAATCTTAGATTGCATCTATTAGTTCTAAAATTTTTTTTATGTTCATTGACTTGCCCTTACCCCTTATGGAGGGTCAGCGCAGTATGTGCTGCTCTTCCATACATTTCTATCAGCCGTCATATCTGAATCCACTCCCTTCTTAAGTATCCTTTTTTTGACCGACTTCCCAAAAGAAGGAGGTACTTAATATTATGGGTCATTATCAACATCATCTGCCCACTGCTGGACATAGGCCTTGGATCACTTAACTATGACTATCTCAGATTGTTTTTCTTATTTTTAATCATACAGTCATTTTACGATTATTCACATAACACTAATATTATAAATATCAAAGTTTCAATGGATGAATGTTTGTTACTATCTCCTAAACGCCTGAACAGATTTTGTAAAAATTTGGCTTTTATGCAAGGGAAGGATATGTATGCTATTTACTAAGATTTATTTTAATCCGCGCGGACGAAGTCGTGTTCAATAGTAGATAATAAATGTATTTGTGGTAATAACTGTTTTTGACAAATTTCAACAACAGTAAAACACATATGGAAAGCAGCAGCATATTTATTTGGGGCACCTACCTCATCAGGTAATTACTGCTTTCAACACAGAATTTGTATATCACTAAACCATTGTCACTACACTGTAATCCAGTCCATATATTTCAATATCTTCCAAAACAAATGTGCAGTTTTAATTATTTTGTTTTGTTGGCGTGATAGTAAAATCACGAAATCGCGAACCACAATGTATGTGACGTCTTTGCACAAGAATGATACAGATACAGATATAAACAACAATTTGCAAAACAAGTTTGGTACAGATTATAGCAGTTGTCAAAGATTAAAATAAGCCTTTGACATAACTCCTTTTTACAACAGTATGAGCTATATATGAGTACGATTTTATTTGAACCGATTTCACTAAAATATCACTACCTGGCTGTCGCTCGCGACTTTTTCGCTAGGGATTTAAAAGCTGTAGCAGCAGCAAACAGATACGGGTTTGTTTTGTAGATAGGGGGCGTTGAAGATGGGCACCGGTAATTCTGAAAACGACCCTGCTAAAGTATGCTATAGGCGTATTTTAAAACAAGTTAACTACCTGACTCTTACAAAACCATCATACTGATTTCTTACAATATCTAAAACAAAGACGTAGAGTTTAATAACAAACAAAATAATAGGAGAACTCGAGTTATTATTAAATCATTTCTAAACATTAAAAATGAAGGTATCTAATTTATTTTGGAGTTATACCCGCAAGTGGGCTAAGGAGATACTTTCCTGAAACTAACAAAAACTTAATTTCTTACAAAAGATATATTCTAAAAGTCACTTATATAAAAATTAACGATACCCGTCGAAATAGCAATAGTAAAATTTGATACCTATTTGTTCTATTTAACTCATACTCATATTCTTGAAATTGAAGCTTCAAGGTTATATCGCTAGGTGTAAAAGGCAGTCAAAATTTTTTTCGACAACTATTGTGGTGGACACAATTAATAAAGAAAAGCACAATTTTATTAAATTAATAAATTCGTTTTATAATGACACAAGTGAAAAAATTTTTACACAGATTATATACAATAATTGTACTTTGCAACTTTGTTATGAAGTTTGTTTTAGGTGATGACGTAATGGTCTATTTTAGGCATTGTAGGCTCGGGTTTTTGTTATTATTATTGTCGTCTTGTCTACTTGTTACCTCAGTTATGCAGTATTTTGCAGTTTTTTAAATTTGCAGATCGTAAATCCCCTAAAAATATGCTTCAAGCGATTGTCGCTTACTTTTTATGTTGGACAATGAGAACTATGAATGTCTTTAATTTTTTTTAAATGGCTAATGACATTTCTGGAGTTTACATTAACTTGATAATAATGTAAACCTATTTTTTAAAGAGGAAGTTTAAACGATAATGTTTTTGATATTATCACGCTGACGTCATAAATGCAAAGAGGAAGAGGTTATATAATGTCTACGCAAATAGTAAACTACAACGCGGGAAAATGATCGGGGGAAAAGATGGCTGCAATTTTTAAGGATAATTCGGTACGCAGTGTCTCAAGTATTTATGTCCTATCAATTTTAGTGCAGATAATAATAGAGCGTGTACATGTATCCTTTAATGCAAAATGTGCGAGGTAATAGGTAATATAAATTTTAATTAATAATTTCTTCGTGCCATCTTTAAACAATATTAATCAAGTACATTTGCCATCAAATGATTGACTGTGATTATTGGGAAAATTTGGTAGCGTTTTAGCAGATTTATACACAATAAAACCAATAAAATATTCTATATAATTTTATTTTTTTTGCGACCAAAGGTCAATTTTAATTTGCAGCAAAAACACATAGATATATCAGTTTTCTTATACATATTTCGTAAATATTATAGTCGTACGTTTTGTCGGATTTTTTTTAAGCTTGTATGAGCCGTCTAAGGTATTTAGGCATTTTGAAAATCGAATCGAAACAGATGCATACTTTTCCTCTGCCTGGCGGGAACGGTCCGATTTGCCCTGGTGTGCCATCATCGTCGCAAGGGACAACACCACTGCCTGGTTGAGTTGGTCCATTACCACCTGGACTTCCTGCGGGGCTTGGGCTTCCACCTGGGTTTCCACCGGGGCTAGGGCTACCGCCTGGGTTTCCACCAGGGCTTGGGCTTCCTCCTGGGCTTGGGCTACCACCTGGGGTTGGGCTACCGCCTGGGTTTCCACCAGGGCTTGGGCTACCACCTGGGGTTGGGCTACCACCTGGGTTTCCACCTGGGCTTGGGCTTCCTCCTGGGGTTGGACTACCACCTGGGTTTCCACCGGGGCTTGGGCTTCCTCCTGGACTTGGGCTTCCTCCTGGGCTTGGGCTACCACCAGGGTTTCCACCAGGGCTTGGGCTTCCTCCTGGGGTTGGGCTACCACCTGGGTTTCCACCAGGGGTTGGGCTTCCACCTGGGTTTCCACCTGGGCTTGGGCTACCGCCTGGGTTTCCACCGGGGCTTGGGCTACCGCCTGGACTTGGGCTTCCTCCTGGGTTTCCGCCTGGGGTTGGGCTACCACCTGGGTTTCCACCGGGACTTGGGCTACCGTCTGGTGTGTCTTGATCGTCGCCTGCAAGTTAAAATCATATCATTAATTAAAAAGCAACGGGCGCCATCACCGGCGTGGCAAACGATATACAAATATGAACTTTTTCCTAATTCAGTCTCATACCTATTTCGTAAGTTATTGTCTCCTGTTCATTAGATGTTGAAGCCTCACTTCTGCTGCGGCTCCTGCTTCTACTCTTGCCTGAAGTTTTAGTAGAGGTTCGTGTTCCTGCCATTAATTGCAAACTATGAAAATAACTGTCAAACACTAGAATAGTTATATTTCTAAGTCAAATCCAATTTCTAAACAACTTCCGAAAATAGACGCATTCATAATTTGCTTGCATTTTTTAAAAACTTAACGCTTAGTTTAAAGTAGTTTAACACGCTTACTGCGTAACATGCCAATATCGGCCTGACGCGGTACTTAAGCTGGTGCGGACGAGAAAACTATGCCTGTCTTGCTAGTCCGAAACTTTTATTTCATGGGTATACATTACATTAAATATATGACATCATATATCCACAATTCTATAGCAGTCTAATCTATCCTAGTGCTGGTAGGCCTAGAATGACCTGCTACGCAATGGCGGAAATATCATTGGGGGTGCATTTCGACCCGCCGCTGCACCACATGAAGAATTATTATTTTACTTGCCGCAGCAAACGTGTTAATTTTAAAGTGAAACAATCGTATGATTGTCGGTACATTTGTAAGATTACCTGTTTTCTTGGTGTTCGTTGTAGTCGTATAATCAGTGCTTGATTCTGCTGAGGCCTCCGCCTCTGCTTTAGCAGAAGACCGTGTCTTTGATTTTGTGTATGTACCAGTTTTCTTTCCTGAAATTTTAAGTCAACTACTATTAGACTGAAAGGACTATTACACAGTCATATTTTCCAAATGATTTCATTCTCATCATATATTTATCATCTTCCAATTATCCTACTCCTAGTGTCGGCGCAACAGGTTTTCGTCCTCCCAAAACTATCATACTTCTTCTCAATCATCACTTCCTTCTTGATCATGTCACCTTTCACACCCATAAGAAACGTTCTTCTTTTTACATGCGATTAATTCCTAGTGGAATGTCCATATCTTGCTAACCTTTTACTTCTTACCTTCTCTACCACTACGGCTACTCTCAAATTTCCTTTAATATACGCGAATTTAAATTTGCAATGTTACTTTTAAACCCTAAACGACTAAAACTTTTCTTTAAGGGGTGTTGCCTTATAATATCATATTTACTGTTCAATTTTTTTTTACAACTGTTAAAACATTTACTTAAAATATTAAAACTGTAAAATCTAGCGTCCAAACTAACCAATCTTCAGATAAAAAGGAAGTTGACTTAAGTGTTCATGTTTACGACCGAGCTGTCCGCGGTCTTTCGTTTCAAATATTTTAACCGTACATTATGTTACACGAACTGTTGCCCGCGACTTTGTCCGCGTTGTATTAAAAAACATACGAACTAAATAAATTACAAAAAGCTACGTATCCCTCGGTAACCGGACATTTCTCGGGGATGAAGCTTATCCCATGTGTACTCCAGACTTTGTTTTATATCTGTACCAAAATTTCAATAACATATGTTGAACCGTTGCAGAATGATCGAGTAAACATTAAAAAACAAAATTAATTAATCCCACGGGAACCGTAACTATTCCCGGGATAAAAAGTAGCCTATGTTTTCTTCCAGACTATGCTCTAAACCTGTGCCAAATTTCATGAAGATCCGTTCAGCCGTTTAGGCTACAAACGCTAACAAACATCCATCCATCTATCCATCCATCTAAACTTTCGCATTTATAATATTAGTAAGAAGTAAGATTGATATTTATGTATTTATAAAACGTAAAATTCGAATCAATAATAATAACTATCATGTCGTATCGGTCTTTGCGGGAGACCTGTGCCTAGCAGTGGGCGTCATATGGCTGAGTAAATAGAGAGATACCTACCTCGCTTAGGTTTTTTTCCTGGGCTGGGCTGTCCTCCTGGGCTTGGGCTACCACCTGGGCTTGGGCTTCCTCCTGGGTTTCCACCTGGGCTTGGGCTTACTCCTGGGTTTCCACCGGGGCTTGGGCTTCCTCCTGGGGTTGGGCTACCACCTGGGTTTCCACCGGGGCTTGGGCTTCCTCCTGGGGTTGGGCTTCCTCCTGG